CGCGGCAGGTCCAGGCCCCCCACCCCAGAGGCTCCCTCCCACGCCCGCTGGATCGGCCCCCTGCCATGTGAGTGCTGCACGGCTCTCCAGAGTAGTGGGGTGGGAGGGGGGAAGAGTACTTTTAGTGCACAGTCGTGCAGCCGCACACCTTAGTGGGAACTATGGTCAGGTGCGCTGCTCAGGGTGCTGTGAGGTCTGCTCGCTGCACTGGCCGCCCAGGAAATGAAATTCAAAATGTTCCTGGGGCGTGGATCGGCCCCCTGCCATGTGAGTGCTGCACGGCTCTCCAGAGTAGTGGGGTGGGAGGGGGGAAGAGTACTTTTAGTGCACAGTCGTGCAGCCGCACACCTTAGTGGGAACTATGGTCAGGTGCGCTGCTCAGGGTGCTGTGAGGTCTGCTCGCTGCACTGGCCGCCCAGGAAATGAAATTCAAAATGTTCCTGGGGCGTTTCCTGTTCACCTGCAGAGCAGCAGAGTTGAAAGTCCTGGCCAGAGTGGTCAGTGCGGGGCACTGTGGGACTCCTCCCGGAGGCCAAGAATGTCAACTTCCGCAGCGCTGCGACTGCACTCCCGTCAAGTCAACCATGTGAGCTCGACTCTAGCGGTTACTCCTCGTGAAAGCAGGAGTACCGAAATCGACTTGAACGGCCCTTGAAATCGACGGAACTGGCTTGGTGTGTGGACTCATGTTTAGAAAAATTGACCGTATGCGGCTAAGTTTGACCTAAACTCCCAGGCCTATGAAATGGCAAGGAAAGTTGCCAGATGCAACTTCAGCGCAACCCACCAATCTACCTCCCTACCCCACGCCTGGCCCTGGTGCAGACAGTGACCTGCTCCGGGGCGGTGTCTTGAACTTGTACATGGGTCCAGATGGTCACAGAAGATTCTTTTGCCAGGCCGGGTGACTACTGTGGTTCCCATAACACCGGAAATGCAGCATGGAAAATACTGCTCGGGCCAAGCAGAGAGCCACAGCCCCTTGTAAACAAGAGACGTGAACGGACGTCCAGCATCTTGGCAAGGAAGAAGCCGATTTCCCTTCCTCGGCTGCACGCCAGGCCTGCCCGGAGGTAGCCCACAAGGCTGCAGGACTAACGTCTCAGGAACCGTGTTCAGAAAAACCATCCAAGCCTCTGAGGAAGGAGACTCAGGCCTCGGTTCAGGCCCCAGAGTCAAATGAGGCTGCGAGTCCTAGGGCAAAATCTCACCCCTCTTGAAATCAATGGAAGCTTAGCCGGGGACCAGGATTATGCTGCCTCCGCCCTGTAACCAAACCATCCCCCCTTGACGGGAAACCTGCCCCGGGGAAGGGAAAGAAACCCTAGTGCTTGGAACGACGGGGCCGCAGCCCCGAGGAGCACGCCGGCGGACGGGGGCAGAGGAGCACTCACGCCAGGGTTTTATGGTAATCTATGAAGTTCGTCACGCCAAGGAATTTCTGGACTGTTTCCATCACTTTGGCTGGCTCTGTTCGGAGCAGCTTGCCATCCAGGACGAGGATCTGTAAGAATAAAGGGGAGCTGAGCGGGGGGTGGCGGGAGGAGCGGTGCTGCCGCTTTGAAGTACCCCTTCCCCCCCTTTGCTGCCTCTACCTCAGAGGCAGCAGTGGTCCTTAACACCCTTAGTTGACATCTCTGCCACGCCCCCACCGCACCAACACCTCCCACACACACTTCAATGCCACGGATCCGAGAGGAGCAGCCACTGATCATCTCCACCCCGGGATCTGAGAAACAGCCACAGAAGCTGGGTGAAGGGGAAGTGTTTGTGCTCTGGGTCCCACAGGCATCCCGCTGCTCTGAGCCTCTGCTCCCGGCTCCCCTAGCCAGGGCTGGGCAGAGAGAGGCTGTTACCCCAGAGGCGAGTGGAACGCGGCCCGTGAAGCCTTCTGGCGCCAGGTTCCTCGCCCCGCAGAGCGAGCGCTCTCCCCGCGGCCCTTGGGAATAAGACGGCTGCACAGTCTGTGCCCTTCCTACCCAGCCAGCGCTCGATGTGGGTGGCGTACCAGCCCGGCACCAGGCAGCGGTTCTGCAGCATGCGGAGCTTCTGCGGCGCCTCGGGCCTGGCCGTGATCACCTCGTGGAAGGTGTATTTCAGTGCGACGGGATCGTCGTGAGCTCGCTGGTGCTGCGAACCAGGGCAAAGCGCTTCAGTGTCTCTCATGAAACCAACCTGTGACTGAATGACCACAGATGCAAATTGGAACTGGCAAATATAATATTTGGGGCATCACTTGATTGCAGTAACTGTAATAGACACACAGCCCTGTAACACTGAATTGCAAAGGCGCCTTGGAGTGGTTACTTATAGTGGGAAATTTATCCTGTGTGCATCAACTGTAACAACTCCTTTGGGTTTAGGCACCAACTTCTCATTTTGCTGGAAGGTGCTTGAACCCCACTCCGCTCCAGGCCCCACCCCCTACCCTTAACTCTGCCCTCTCCCGCCTCTTCCCCACCCTGCCCCGCCTCTTCTCCCAACCAATGCGGCCCAGGGCTTTAGCAGGACAGGGGGCCGACACTGGCCGGGGAAGTGGAGCTCACTCTGTCCCCTGGATGCGTTGCTCCACTTCCCGCTGGCCAGTGTGGGGGCGGTCCCACCCCTTCCCCCAGCAGCCCGGCCAGGAGAGCAGAGCGAGCTGGGGCCACGTCACTCTGCTTCCCCTGCTGCTCAGTGCAGCGGGCAGAGCCCTGCTGTGGGTACCAGTCCCCCCCGGACGCCCGGGGACTCTAGGCCTGCTGGCTGGCCCCTTGCTCCACCCACCCACGGCACTCGGGGGGGTTGTGGGCCCCCCACCCCTGCTGAGATCTGAAGTCCAAGGCTGCCTGTGAGCTCCGGGGAGGTCTCTGAGCACTCACGCAGACACTGGGCTACCCGGCGCCTTGCCCACAGCTGGGAGATGTGCTGCGTGCACCACCCCCTGCTCGGCAGGGCTCCTCCCTTCTACGGGCCAGCATCCCGGCTCCCACAGCAGAGCCCTGGACCATCAGCCCATCCTCCTCGGACACCCGCCTGAGCCTGCCGATCGCCGGCACAAGCCAGACCCCTGCCAAAGCCATGGACCAGCCATGGACCAGCGCAGAGCACGCCTGCCCCAGCCCGGGATCGCAGCCCGGGATCCCAGCGCACAGAGCAGCAGCCCCCCAGCCAACCCTGAGCGGGAACAGACGGCGCAGACGCAGCCAGGCCGTTCACCTGGTACCAGGAGTAGGCCCGGTCCGCCGGGTTGATGAGGATGGTGATGACCTTGGCCTTGGAGAGCAGTGCGGCTGCCCGCCGGGGGGCCACCTCCGAGTCGAAGTAATTGGCGCTCTTCTCAAAGTACAGGTCCGAGGTGGTGTTGGAGGGGATGGGGAAGAATTCCATGTACCTGCAGGGAGGTCACAGCCTGAGACGGGGGAAGAGGGCACTGGGCGGGGGCAGAGAAATGCACCTGGCCCCCTCCCCTGGAGAGACAGAGCCCGACTATGGTTCTATAGTCAGGGTCCAGCACACGCCACCGATCACCCCTGAACAGCCACGGCCTGTCTGAGCACCGCTGGTCTCGGGCCCCAGCATGGAGGGAAGGGCCCGTCTCCACCACCGCGATGGAGCTGGTCCGGGCAGAAGTGTACTGGGACCAGGACCTGGGGCTTGCCTGTCCGTGGGTAGATCAGGCCCCACCGGGCTGGAACAGAAGCCTGGCACCAAGGACGGGGGCTCCCATGTAGACAGAACGATCCCTTAGCCCCAGGCCCAGCCCCCGCGGGTAAGGGGGCATTGGGGGTTTACGGTGCTCTGCAGATGGCTCTAGACCGGCACTTCATTGCTCAGCATCTAGGCACCTTTCTGAGCCCAGGGCTGCGGGGCTGAATGTGCATCTAGCGGGAATGACCAGTCTGAGAAGGGGTTTGTGGACTCCTGCCCTGACGGATTGGTCCCAGGAGCCAAAGCCACATGGGAAACCCCCTCCTTGGCTCTTCACTGAGCTCGCAGCTTCCCCCAAACAGTGGGCCCTGCGAGCTGAGCGCTTGGGTGGCCTCCCGGCTGATTAGTACAGCGCCCCGGTGGTGCCCAGCCACACATGCCTTGGTGCACATAACATTTATTCCGCAGCTGGACAGAAAAAAAATGAGGGAATGCTGCCCTCCGACCCGGCATGCCCAGAAGCCCAGCAGGGGGCAGCATGAAAGGAGCCCTACCAGTCAATGCCCTTGTGATAGTTGTGTCCGTTGAAGAACTGGATCTCCTCAAAGGTCTCCGAGCTGGGGTAGTTGCTGCTCAGGTCCGGGTGCATGCCCAGGAACAGGTAGAGGGCCGTCGTCCCTTTAGACGGAAAGGGGGCAGAGCTGAGGCCAGGGCGCGGCAGCGACCTCCCAGCGCCGTGGCAAACCGGGCAGCGCTCCCTCCCCTCTACCGCAGGCGTGGACGGGGCACCCAGCTCACGTCCCTGCCCCAGCCCGGCACAGGAAAGAGGGAGGTTCTAGGACCCAACGAGGGGAACGTCCCCAAGAGGGCCGTCGTCCCTTTAGACGGAAAGGGGGCAGAGCTGAGGCCAGGGCGCGGCAGCGACCTCCCAGCGCCGTGGCAAACCGGGCAGCGCTCCCTCCCCTCTACCGCAGGCGTGGACGGGGCACCCAGCTCACGTCCCTGCCCCAGCCCGGCACAGGAAAGAGGGAGGTTCTAGGACCCAACGAGGGGAACGTCCCCAGGGCAGAACGCAGGGAGCCACCAGCCGGCCTCCCGAGGGAGACCCAGACGCTGCCCCTCGTGAAGAGAAATGGCGCGACTGGCGCAGTAGCAAAGCTAAGGGGGGTGCAGCGGCCCTGGCTCTGTGGGGCGCAGCTGGACGGAGGGGGGCTGCAGTACCTGTCTTCTGAGGGCCAATGATGAGAAGCTTTGGGAACCGGTCACAGGTCTTCTCTTTGGACCAGATGTCCTTGTGCCGCTTGTCCTCACAGGGGTCCTGCAACACGGGAGTGAGAGGCGGCTCGAGGAAGGGCAAGGGGGGAGCTGGGAGGAGAGGCCTCGATGCCCCATAAGCTTTTAAGACAGTGAAGGCTCCCTGTTCGCGTGGATGTTGGGCAGGGCCGAACCGAGGGGGGCACAGGTCTGGGGCAACCCCCTCCAGTGCCCCAGGCGCAGGGCAACCCCGTGCTGGCCCTGCTGCTGCTCTACCACACCCCACCTCTGCCCCACTCCTTCCCAAAGCCCCGCCTCTGCTCCGCCCCTCCCCCGAGAC